AGTTGTTGGAAACAAACACTGAGTTTAACTGCTTATCTGAGTTCTTGGCATCCTCCCAACTGGTTTGATTTACTGCCATGCTACTTCACTTCTGGAACTCCTTAACATGCTTGCCCTGCCTAATTAATTGCCTTGTTGTATTTATAGTTGGGAGTTTTCTGCTTACAACAGTTTGGACTGGAATATTTTCAGTCAAGGCTATTACAGGTTTGTGAAAGAGCTTTTCTCCAGGCTGGAGAGTTGAAAGGGACGTTGGGGGCACAGCTGGTGTTAATAAAGGGATTCATACCAGTTCTCTGGCTGTGTTGCCTTTGTGCCACACCCTGGGTCATCACAGCAAGTTTGACACCCCTGCCTTAGATCCATAGCTCACACAGACTTACAGTAGAAGCCAAGGGGAGGAAGAAATGCTCCCCCCTCACTTTCATCACTATATCTGAATAGCACATTATCTACATTCTAATGTTCATTTGAAAACTGAAAACACAGGTGAAATCATTTTCACAAGCAATGTGGTATCAGGTTAATTACAATTCATCAAAAACTACAATCAATCACAGTCTACCACTTGCTGATGATGTAGTGCTGCTGACGTAAAATATTTAATATGGAAAATGAAAATATGCATCAGTAAAAAAATCAATAGCAGTAAACAAGAAAAAAAATGGTTTTTTTCAGAATGAATTGTTCCAGTCTGAGGAATAAAGCCAAACAAAGTACATCATCATCAGAGCCTAAAAGTGCTATATTTAGAGACTCCTGGAGATAATTTCAGATAGAAACTGAACCGGTGCTGTCTATAGAATTCGATTTTTAAACAGAAGCCACATTTTCAACTATATTCATCCTTACAAAAGTGGTAATTAGAATGATCTGAGAGGTGAGGGAAAAATATTTAAATAATAGTAAGTATAATTTGACATAATTGCAGACAACTTATGGATGTGACCTAGGCCAGTGCTGCTTAAATTTGTAGGAAATCAGGGTCCAATGAGAACTGAAGCTTTGAAAGTTCAAAATGTATTTTCTTCCCATTGCTCATAAAAAGGAATATTGTGTCCTTAGTTCCATATAAGCAGAGGTCTGCAGTTTACAGTAAAAGAAAGAATGTAGAAGAATATCCATTTGAATGTAACTATATAATGTCATTTTTTAAAGGGTTGGGCTCTTTTTTGTGTCAAAACTGTCTCTAGCTACAGGACAATCATTGTACTGTTTAATCCTTGTAGATATCTAGAGTCATGTATGTGTAGGTGGCCATAGAAACTGAAACAAATAAACAAAATTGAAGAATTGATTGATTGATAGCTTGAGAACAGTGTGCACCTATGGACTCTTTTGTAACTATGTAGATAAAAATATAACCTTTTACTAGAGCTGCATGCATGTAAACACTGGCATTTACTGTATGTCATTCATCTAAGGTGGATAGTAAACCTTAAATTGATGAAAAGACACCATAGGTTTATTTCTGGTTTTGGTTTCTCTCTTTCACTTCTTATGCTGTGATATCTAAATCTATGGAAGAAACTAAGAACATATAGCTGTGGGTTGTGATTGATCATCAGGGAACTTCTGCAATTCTTATTAACAGGAAAGATGTGGGAAGTTATCATATATACCATTTTCAACAGTTGTCCTGGAATCCTATAGTTGTAAAGGGCCCATATAGGCCACTGAATCTAATCTGCTGTTCCATCTGTCTAATCCACCATTTTTCTGGGATATTGGCTCTAGGATTGTGCACTGTTTTGGATGTTAATGGAAACAGAACAAATGCTCCAGAGCACGGGTGTCAAACTTGATCATGTCACGTGACATTGTGACATATAGCAATGTTTTTTGGCTTTGTGGAGTCAGGGTGGGCAAGGCTTGCACAGGATGTATCGGGCCCATGGGTTGCCATTTTGACACACCTGTTCTAGAGCAAGTCTTGCTCTGTTTGCATCTTTGCATGTTCTGAATCCTTTTTGGATATCACATATCGAATGCTGCACGTTGATGCTACAGTTGATCTGCTATTACCATTAGGATTTTTTCCCCTGCCATTTTATTGAAATTTATCTTTCTGTGCCATAAATTATATCACATTCTGCACTTTAGAATTCTAAGAGAAAAGGTCTTGACATGCTATATACTATCCCTTCAATATGATACAATAGCAGAGTTGGAAGGGACCTTGGAGGTCTTTTAGTCCAACCCCCTGCCTAGGCAGGAAACCCTATACCGTTTCAGACAAATGGCTATCCAACATCTTCTTAAAGACTTCCAATGTTGGGGCACAACTTCAGGAGGCAAGCTGTTCCACTGATTAATTCTTCTGTCAAGAAATTTCTCCTCAGTTCTAAGTTGCTTCTCTCATTGATTAGTTTCCACCCATTGCTTCTTGTTCTACCCTCAGGTGCCTTGGAAAATAGTTTGACTCCCTCTTCTTTGTGGCAACCCCTGAGATATTGGAACATAGCTATCATGTCTCCCCTAGTCCTTCTTTATTTCTTGTTCTTCAGGTTGTCCCAAAGGTGCTGACCTGGATGACTGAGAATCTCCATAGACATTTATTCCTTCAGGTGTTAGAGTGCTATCATATGGCCACTCAGTCTTCCCAAAGATAAACATTCCCAGTTGTTCCTATCTCTTTTATTAGGACTTAATCATCCTTGGTATTCCTCAATCTTTCCCATTTCTCTGAATCTTTCCTAAAGGGGATCTAGCTGTAGCAGAATAAAGCACACCATTCTTCTTGCTAGATAAGTGATTGGGGATCAAATTGAATATTCCTTGCATGATTTGTAATCATATATATATGAATATATCATCTAACCACAAGCCCTGGAACTCTTTATTTCACTGGGTTTCTATGGAACTTGCCTTCATTTTGTCCTTATCCTTTGAGGGAGACAAGTTTAAGACATTTTCAATAATTCCAATTTTAAAGTAGGTTTATTCTTAGGATGATAGCAACCACCAACAGTTTAAAGGTGAGGACAGTCTGCTGCTAGGTGGCAAGGTCAATTGACCAATAAGAAGAAGATGCCTGTAGGTCAGTTTGGTATCTCCAACTGTCTACGTCCGGGGCTCTCTCCTCTAAATCCATTACTTTTTCTTTCTACAGCCTCAAGCATATGATTGTCAGGATAAAGATGAGAGCTGAAGGGAAAATAATTTTAATGTACTAAAACTCTTAGCTCAAAACAAGCCAATAGATAACTGTGTTGCCAGTGAAGAATCACATAGGGAGGCTCTCACTTCAACCACTCAATGCTAAACCCAGTGCCCCATTCACAAGATGGTGAAAATCTGCCAACCACTTATCATATTAACTGTGTTGGTCCAAGTTTTGACAAACAGCTAAACCCACAGGTCTAATATCTGTCATATAGCAAACCACAGCAATAATGTGATTGGTGGATGTAGTATTTTCACACTAGCAACTTATAGTTTCTCTCAGAGTCATCTAACTATTACTGCCAGAATAAAAGTAATGAGTGCAGGCTTCAAATCACTTCAGTGATATTTGGATGATGTTATGAAGACGCGGCATGTTACTAGTGAGAAAATGATCTTTAACTCAGCAGTGGAGAAATGCCTTATTTCACAACTTGGACTCAGACTGAGACTAACTTTACTGTCACTTTGAACGTACACTAATCGGCATACATTAAAATGAAATTTCATTACATACAGCTCTCAAAGGGTCACTGCCTCCAATTTCCACTACATAAACATGACAAAATAAATAAATAAATAAATAAAAAATTATGCATATACCCACATATATTATATTACGGAGAAACAACAGTCTAGTTCGGATGTATATATCTACATGGCGAGAAAAACAAATCTTACATGTTTGCCAGATGGATGGCATAGGGAACAAAGCTGTTACAGAATCTGGTAGTC